CTTATTCACTGTTAATTCTTTATAAGTCTATTTTATAGTTTAATAAAAAACTTTTAATACATTTTTAAAATTTACTGACATACATCAACGCGTAAAGTATATTAGAGCCTTGTCAGTAATTACATTCTGGTACAATTATGGAGCAAACACATACTGTACAAACAGTATATAAACCTTTGGAGTCAGAATGCACAAAAATGCTAGATCAATAATTTTATCACCTTTAGATCTTTCCAGCAATGGCTTGCTTCAGGAATAGTTTTTGGTAAAAGGCATTTCATATTTCCAGCTGATCATTGAGAATGCAAAAAAAAAAGAAATTGGTTAATTATATGATTGAGTGCCTAATGTGAAATGTGATACAAATCAAATGCACATTGAAACCCTGAGGAAACAAATCTATCTGTTCATTCACTTAAGCATGTGATTTTCCTATAGATTTCAGAAAGCAGCCAAATATTTCATTCTTTTGTCTGCTCACAAAAAATATGCCCTTAAACTGTCAAACAAATAAGTTATTGTTACTGGTTGTGGATTGTTTGACCAATCTGGTATCAACTGGTGATTCTAAAGGACATTGTTTGATACAAAATGATATTCTCCTCTTTAAGTAGCACAAACTGCCAGTTTTTTTTTTTAGAATTTAAATTTGGTGATTTATTTATGTGGAGCAGCTGTACGTCCGCCCATCCATTTTTTAACCGCTTTATCCAATAAGTTAGTTGTGGAGGATCTGGAGCCTAAACAGACAAGACGTGGGTGCAAGGCAGGATACAGCACGAACAGGACACCGGTCCATCACAGGGTACACACAGAAACACATAGAGACACATGCTATACAGTCATACCAGGACTAATTTCCCCTGAAGGCTATACACTTATAGCCAATAGCTCTTTGAACCATGTAAGGAAACCCATGCAAACACAGAGAAAACATACAGACTGCAACAGCAGCATACAGTAAATAACCTTCTAACATTTATGGAATGCAGCAGAAAAATACACAATATTACACAATCAAAAGGCAATAATTATCAAACAATAGGGAATGTGAATCTTGATTCCTCTCCTTTTTATTCAGTACTGTTATTATTTTTTAAGGTATGTTTTGTTTCCACAATGTGTTATAGATTTGTGTAACAACCTTTCAAAGGTAAGCGATTCATCCAAATGTTTTTCACATTTTCTTTTTTGGGGGAAAATCCATAAATGTATAAATAATGAAACATTTATATAATAAGTAGAATTACCCTTCAGAAAGCAACATCAGTTTTATCCAAGGCGTTTTACTTCTAAGGTCAAGAAAATCAATAGACAGAGGAAAAGGAAAACACAGGACCGGAAATAAACCAGTAGGCTTTCCTGGCCTAAGTACCTAATATTCCACTTATACTTTGTGTACTATTTAAATTACATTTCTATGCATTTTGCATTTACTTTCATGTAGAAGATGATTTCTAGATGATCTACAATGACAAATAATCACATCCAGTTATGATGCAAAGGTTGCAAGCAACAGTAGCATAAAATAATAGAAAAAGCATAAAACTGTAAAGTACAGTGTTAATTAAGTGCTAGGATGTTGTACAGTACTAATACATTTCAACTGTGCTTGACAGGCAGGAAGTACTGTAGTAACATAGCACAGTCAGTAAGAGAGGGTTAGTCATGACTTCTGGGTTAAGGTATACAGTATGTTGAAGAAATGTTTTGAGTTTCTTCCAGAAAATGGCAAGCGAGTTTGTGGTTCAAACTATGGCCAGTAGTTTATTTCACTATTGGAGGGGCTTTGCAGTTGGCCTTGGACTTGTGCTGCCTCAGTTGCATTGCCAATCAGCATGAGAACCCAGATTTCAGTTCCCTAATTGGGACGCTGTGGTCTGGAAATGGCAACACAGTCCCCTCTGAAACTCTGTAGGCTAGCACTAAGGTTTAGAATTGATGTGGTCTGGTCTTGAAACCAATTCAAAGAAATGAAAAGTGGGGGAAATAGATTGTTTCAGGAAGTTGCAAACTAAGTGGACTGCAATGTTCTGTATGAGCTGGAGTGGTCGAATTGTCCATGCACAGACTCAAGCTACTGTAGAAAGGAGTTGCAGTAGTCCAGAGAGATAACTAGTGATGGGAAAAATAGTTAATAGAGTTAAGTATGGGCAGATCTTCATCTACTATGTACAGGAAAAATCAGCAAGACAAAATCACAGATGAGATTTAGCATCTGAGTGTAAAGATGATGTCAATGGCGATGATGAGCATCTCGGCAGTCTTGGTAGAGACTGTGCCCAGGATTATAAAAAATTCTTGATTAAGTGAATGCCCTGCCCAGACATTAATTAGCTCAGTCTTAGAGAGGTTGCACTGGAGATGATAGTCGGTCATCTAGGAAGAGATGTGTGCTAGGCTTGCTGTGATGCTGGAGGATTCCTGTGTGGCATAGGGTGGAAAAGACAATAGAACTGTGTATCATATGCATAGTGATATTGGGACACAGTCACGATATCAAGTCATGGTAGGTGACAATGGGGCCACGCAGGCTAGTATACAAAGAAGAGGATGGGGTCCAGCCCTGCAGGTCCACTCTTAATAAGTTTTGTAAATTACAAACTGTACCTCTCCATGACACCAGGTAGGAGCTCCCCAAGAGGAAAGATGTGCACCTATTCAGTGCAGTGCCAATAATGCAGACCGACAAGACTGTTGAGGAGAAACTGATGGCTCACAGAATCAAAAGCTCTGGAGAGACTGAGAATGGGCTATACAATCTGGGGGTAATACAGTATGTCATTCAAAATTTGTTTTTATGTGACATATTCTCTGTGTAATAGTTTGAGAGGATATTTACTGACATGAGGGCAAAATACTGCTGACAAGCAGAAAACTAAATATTGGAAAATAAAACTTTTTAGACAACCATGAAGTAGATAGGATTGTGATGTACAAAATTAATAGTCTTTATACCTTTAATGATATGAAGAAAATCAAAGAAAATGTAAAGCTGAACAGAGACAAATACTGTAATATACTTTAAAATGATTGAGGTTTTAAAAATCTTGTAAGAGCTGGATACATCAACCCCACACACTACTTCACAGGAAGGCATGGGCCAGAGGAATGATCTATAAATTTTCCAAAAATAGGATGTTGTTGTTGTTAAGCTAGAGTGGTTTGTATATGAAACAAGTCTCCAAGACATATTGCATCTGTCTACTCCTTTTGGTTTTTCAAAAACTGGCTTTTGAGACTTTGGAGTAGGTAGAGTAGAAAGGAGATGTTTCATTCACAGCTTGAAGCTTTATATCTTTATATACTGTATCTGCTTTATCATATATCAGCTTTATATCTGTATCAAGTTCCTTGTTTCTTGGACTTTCTCCAAATTTTATAGCATCGGGTTATCTTGTGTATACTGTACATAGCCTTATTTAGATATTATTGCAAATTCAGTTGTTTTAACAATAATGCTATTTGGTTCTCAAAGTCTTTTTCAATGCAACATAAAGTTGTAAAAGATCAGCAGCTAAAATGTTGAAAAAGCGGTTTCTGTATTATAATCTATGTTGCAGCGCCTGCAGAACTTCAAGAGTGGTGGTTATGGAAAGGATGACCTGTAAGTCACGATGCAAGAAATGAGGGAAAAAAAACTGTCCCCACAATCAAAATGTAATCAATGTGAGCAAAATGTCTAATTTTACCACTCTAATAACTGAACGTTTGTGCACAATCCTACAACAGGAAAGATGAAGATAAGCGCGTTTTACGGAGCCTCAGCAGGTGTCGATCCTTAAGAGTAAAAATAAACACCTTGGAGTGTGCGTAGTCTTGCATTCCCGCAATCGCAAATGCCCGAGGAAATCAACAATAATATCATGATGATAAAGGAATTTCCATACATGCAGATATGGTTGCCGGCTGCCCAATCGATTTTTTAATTTTTAAAAAAGAAATAAAAAGAACATACAATGATGTGTTCCTGCATGATAATAAAAATAGGTTTAAATAGTTAACAACCACTTATGCGCGAAAAACGGGCTAATTGTTCTTCCTCCTGATCAGCTCAGAATGCTATACTCTGTAAGTATTTACTTCTTCATTAAACGTTTAAAATACTTGAATTTCATAAAGACAACACGCGCTCCGTACAGAAAAAATCAGATTCTCTTCTCTTCCTGTTATGTAGGACAGATCAGCAGGTCTTTTTTTCCCAATCAGAGGCTCTGCAAATTGCGTGCCGCCCACTGCGCTCCGTCAGAGAGGGAGGAGGCGCGGAGCTCGGTCTCACATCTGACATAGTGGCCATTCTAGAGAGCCGGGTGCGAAGAGCACCGGCTGCGTCCGCATTCATAACTTAGTGCTTAAAATGAAACAACGTGAATCATTTTCTCTGACTTCTAAGTCCCTTAATTATCATCAAGCACAGCCTTATCACCACTTAGATTATTTTTTCATACCATCGTTAGACAAAGCAGGAACTTATTGTACTTTCTAATGACATTGCACGTGGAAAGTTCAGTATTCCACAATGTATAGAGCTGAGTGCGTCTGCATTCATTTAGTAAAAAGTAAAAGAAAACGCACTATGGCAAACGAGTGTGAGGACTTAAATTATCACTATAACCTTTCACTCTTGTCCTATAGATCCGGCTCAGTTTTAATGCTGACGTGCGATGCTTTCTTTTCTCGATGCTTTCTGAATTTCTTTTTTTTTTATTTAGAAGGGCTGAAATTTTGTGGGAATAGCGATGATGAGGTGTAATTCACATGAATATGTATTTAACGGCGCTGCTAAAAAAGGTGCTGCAGCGCTCTGCCCCTCCCCTCTCAAACAGACAGCACAAGCAGACACGTGATCCGCTGTCTCTGCCTTCTGACACAGTCGCTGGCAGCGCACAGTAGGGAGACAGATTGCACCTTTTCTCCCTCACAAATATAGGATTTTTCTAGTTCCCTTCTCCAATGTGTCCACTTTTTCAGAGGCTGGAGGGAGAGTATTACAGGTAAAGGATATATAACCTTGATTTTTGGGGACTGTCGAAGATTTTTTTTAAATGATTTTTATTTTTACAGTGATGCAGTGATTCTAGAGCAAAATGCATGAGGAGGGCTTCACGGAACATCTTTAGTAAGGGTAGATGGGACGAAGATCATGAAATGGTGATTTCTAGAGGTAATAAAAGTTTAAGGTTGGATGCATTTTATTTCTTCCAAGAATATAAAGTCTTGCTTTATATGGCATCTACTGATCTATAATAGCGGGCAATGTATGGTACGGGAGGAATTTGGCTGTAGAGTTTTTCCTTTTTTTTATTCTTGTGCAGGTAAGGTAGTGCCTGTTGTCGGTATTAGATGTATAAACTAGATTAGAAATTGGCTAGTTCAACAGCATTTATAACAAAAGAGATGCTCAGATTTTAAATGTTCATCGTGATTATCTTCAGCCTATTCCTCTTAAAGCTACTTATTCCGTTACTTCTCTGTATTTTTGGATTGAGCCCGTTTATCAAACACCAAGGCAAGACATGCATGTTCCAATGCACATTTATTCTTTCACTGAATTGGAAAAAAGGCAGTTCATTACAGATGCGTTTGACTTGCCTTGTTTATGGACGTAATGAAATTCTATATATCAATTTTAGAAGATTTTTTTTTTGTCGAAATCTTAAATTCCTTGGCTATGACTTATGAACCTCCCTTCGTTACTTCGCCGTCTCTGGAAAGCCTGAATGTGTATATGTGTATTCCCCTATGGATTGTTAATGCCATTTGTCGTGTCGGGGAATGAGAATATATTGTTAGTTTTCAGAGTGGAAAATATTTTAGATGTTAAAGAAAACACTTGCGTTCCCATCTACTTTTTTTCCCTCCTTTATTTTGTAATGGCTGTGGTTTGTCTGGGATATCACGAAAAATAATATTTTTATTATTTACAGTTTTAATGTTTATCGCCATGAGGACAACGATTGTATTTGGAGGTTTTAAGGATACTACGGCAACGTAAAAACGGATAGAAGTGACAGCACTAACGGTGATTCACTCCCAAAATATCGACATTTCCTTTGCGTGTCTTAATATGCAATAACCTACAGGCTTAATGTAGTTTATGTATTTATATCATATAAGAGACCGTGCGCCTTAATGCGAAGCTGTATACAATTGAATGGAAGTATAGCTTTAACTGCAGACCCCCCTTGCTGTGTGGTATTTACGTGACACCTGTAGGGATCGCCCTGTTCTGGAAGAGAAAGGTTTTCATGTCCCTTGGTGGAAACAGCACAATGCGGTGCAATAAATTACTGATAATATTGTTCTCATAGGAGAGTATTAACTGGGGACGAGGTTTCAGCGTACCCTCGGTAAATTGCGTCAAAAACTGTCACGCAGTGACTTGTTTGGATTGCATAATGAAAACCCAAGGTGGGGTGATAGCGATGGGGAAGACGGTTTTCTCCCCCGTTGTTTTCTTTTTGCAGTTAATAACTAGAGCTGAAAATTGCATTTCAAACTTAAAATGTCAGTTGAACAAGCTGCCATGTTTATAATTGGTTTAGTATACACCAGTTACTCCTGAGGAAGGAAATAAACAAGTACAACATTTAAACTTAATAAACAGCTGCCTTGAATCGATGTTTTTTTTATTTTGTATCTATATATAAAGCTAGTCGAAGACAAACAATATCACGACTCTCCTTTTGTCTTTTTTCCTTTTTAATTAGCACCTAAGTTTTGAGAAAAGCTATTAAAGGCACTGACTTGTCAGTCTAGCTAAACACAATTGTCTTCTAACCACCCCAGAAAATACAGTCACTAGATTCTATCTGTATCATATTGGTAAATCCACTGTACCTGTAAAAGAGAACAGCACGTCTTGTGCTTTTCAAACATTTCAATATTACCATGTTTGTATTGGCAACAAAATTACTAAATAAAAAATAGGAGGGTCTGTTTGTGAGGTTAAAAGCAATAGGAAGGAAAGAAGAAAAACATCTTCCTGATATCACTGCATCCATTTAGTCCTTACAGAATAATAAACATAAACTTTTGCTTTTTGATTTTTCTGAATCATTTTAACAGGTTTGATTATTTAAAATCAATTCCTTGCCAAAGTAAACAAAGTTACATATTAAAAGGGGGGAATTGTACCTGCTCCTTATACAGTATGTCTGTGCATCTCTCTTATCTGTATATATGTAGTGTGTGCTGTCTTTATAAAGTATAACAGATAATTAACATACAATTCAGTTGCATAATTCAAAAAATGGGTTAAATCATTATCGTTTTTCATTCTTTGCAGATTGCTGGTCATTATGTTCAAACTATTGTAAACGCTGGGATCAGAGTTTGGCCTTGAAAAGCAGAGGGGCTGTCAGGCTTTGCATGTCAATAGCTACTGAGCTATTTGACAGTTTATGTTTTTCAGCACCACTGGGAAGGAGGCAGCCTGAGAAGCCATAAGCAATGACTCATGTCGTCTGCTTCAGCATGATAGCGTGAATCTGATGATCAGAGCTGGGTATCTGTCACAGGGTTCAGTGTTTGCATTTTAATTGGTTCATTGAAAAAAAACACAACAAGTGAACCAGGATAGCAAGAAAGAACTGATGGATATCAACAACAACTGAGCCAGTTTTTAAGAAACCTGGATTATACAAAAAGAGTAAACAGAAAGAAAAAAATAGAATAAAATTTTTGTTTATTTTGGCAGAGGACTTCAGTTCCGGCGTGTTGGGTGATATGGTCTAATACTGTCTCTTGCCCTATTGACAAGTCAACAGTACATTGCAGGTATGCAAATGAAGACTTTAAATCAGAAGTTTCATGATACATCCATCCAAATAAATTATTTTTTTTAGTGAGCCCTCCCCAGGAAATACAGTGCTACAGCTGCTTCCTGATTCTATAGTCTCAGCACAGAACAGATCTTCCATCTGAATATTTTTTCAGACTACATTTTTGCCAATATGGTGCTTGCAATGAGGCACGGCGCTCATTTAATCTGGGTGAGCCTGCTGGTGTGTTGCTTGGTTGACCTTGGTACCAGCATGGAGTTCACTGGAGCAGAAGGACAGTGGGCTAGGTTTCCGATGTGGAATGCATGTTGTGAGAGTGAAATGAGCTTTAACATGAAAACCAAGAGCTCCCATGGACTCTTGGTGTACTTTGACGACGAAGGATTCTGCGACTTCTTGGAGCTCCTGATCCACAATGGGAAATTAAGCCTTCGATTTTCAATCTTCTGTGCGGAGCCAGCCACCGTGCTGTCGGACACAGCAGTCAATGACAGCAACTGGCACTCCGTGACAATAAAGAGGAACTTCAAAAACACCACCCTCATAGTGGACAAAGAAGTCAAATGGATTGAGGTGAAATCAAAAAGACGGGATATGACTGTCTTTAGCAATTTGTTCTTGGGGGGGATTCCACCGGAATTGCGATCTGTGGCACTACGGCTAACATCCGCCTCTGTAAAGGATCAAGTTCCTTTCAAGGGATGGATAACTGATCTTAAAGTCAACAGCTCAGAACCTGTACTCAGCGGCAGTGAAGGAGTCAAAACTGATCTTTGTGGTAAAGACTTGTGTCTGAATGGAGGAGTCTGCAATGTGATTGACAACGAAGCTATATGTGACTGCTCGCAGACTGGCTACCAAGGAAAGGACTGCAGTGAAGGTAAGATGTTTGGATTGGTTTCCTAATCAGTTTTATTTGTCTCTTTTACAACATTTTTTTCTTTAACAAAATATCCTCTCCATATTTCTTTTAGCGATTAAGAAATTTACTTCTGAATTCCCCTGGTTTTATCATTAATTCTCAAAGTAACGTTAACATTTCTAATGATTAATTTGCATAAAGTTTTAGTAGTATAGTTTTAACACTTTAAGAGTCACATTTAGTGGGTATAGTTGGTTTTGAAAGTTATGGATCTCTTATTCACTTTAAAATGCACAGTATATACTGTCTGTATATGTATACGCAAATCAGACATGTTTTGATTGTTTGTAAGACTCGTAATGGTCTAGAGGCCCAGAACTGGGCTCATTAGTTGGTAGAGTGGTTTTGAGCATTCTCAAAGGTATCTGACATTCTGTATCTTCAATTCACTGTGGAAAAGTTGACCTATACAGGTTTTATTTCTGTACATTCAAATTTGAATTGTCTATGATGTGTGTTTTTAAGGCAGAGTAGACTCCAACTCATGCTTTCACAATTATTGTGGAAGATAGCAAGTAACAATATAAACCTAGTAGACAGTTTCAATGACTTACTCCTTATAGGTAAAGAGTTAAAGAATATGTATTAGATAAAGGATATGTATTCGTCTTCTAAATTGTTGTAATACTAGCAATTTACTCTCTAAACACACTACAGTATGTTAAAGTTTAGAGTCAGTTATACAAATGTTGCATTGTATATTCAATCACAAAAGGCACATGCATAGGGAAAAGTACAGTATTTAGGCACATGATCAGTAGTCACAGTAACAAAATTCGCATTTCATCCAAAATAGATATTTGCTTTGGAGGCATCATCATCTACAAAAGAATAAAAAAATGAATAGGTGCATTTTTCAGCCTACATTTTAGTACACAAAATTAAGTAGAATTTGTAAATAAAACTATAATGTTGTTTGGGATTTGGATATTAGATACTCATAGGATATCTCCTATGTCTTTCCTTGTACAACAAAAAACTATGGGCTTTAAAGTTATACTGTGCACATTTATTACACTCTCTTGTCTTTAAATGTTTCCTAATTTGGTCAATTTCATAATTAATAAATCATTTTGTATCAGGCAAATTATTTGTGCTGTTTTAAAGCAGGTTAGCTTGTTGGGATTTTAACGTCACTTTAAGATAATTATTTCCTGCTAGAGCTGAAGGTTCAATCAGTTGTATCTCTTGTTTTTTTAATCATTCTTTAATAATGTCTTTTGCCAAATGCAGATTTTGTTTTGTGAAATTGCTGCATGGGACTGATAAATGATAACCCGTGAAACCTTGATAGTTCTCATTTATTATTATGACAATGAAAAGCATATCATTTCATGCAACATTAGCTACATGTACCTGTATTCCGAACTTCCTGACAATATTTTGCATGTTTTTTGTTACATTTGTTCTCCATACTAACAGAAGCTGAAATATACCTGCATTCTGGAAAAGAGGTCATGCTCATTCTTTGAGATTCTTGAGCTATGGGGCAACATTTTAACAGGGTACCTACTGTAGATTGATTAATTAACTGAAAAGTGAAAAAGCTTGAATGTACTAAATAAATACATGCATACGTAAATTAGGTTGCTACTTAAAGAGGTCAGAATTATTACAACTAATTAAATACTTGGAAACCAAGCCAAAATGAAAAAAATTACCAGAACTTAATTATTTCATTATACTGTAGATGTTTCATGAGCCACACTATATTTCTTAAAACAAGAAGTACTGGGATACTGTATTTTGTTTTCATGTATTTGGTATTAATATGTCTTAAGGTTCATACTGTGGAGCAAGATCAGTGGTTCTTAAATTCCCATAGGAAGCAATGAAAATGTCTCCTATGCAGTTCAAATATAAGCCCCGACATGTTTAGCCCAGTATATAGTAATTTAAATTCTAAACAATATACTGTAATTATCTGTGTAATTGAAGAGAAATTTCTTCATCTAGCAATAGTAAAAACAGATCAAAAACCCTAATTGTCTACTGCTACTGTACATTCTATGGACCTTTGATCACCAGACTGATCTCTTTCAATATTTCACAACTTAAGCCTTTTTGTCACATCCATCGATCTCAACAGCTGGTGTCACATGTTTGTTCAGGTGCTATAGATAACTCCGTCTCAAAAAGCAAGGATAGCTAAAAAGTTCTCTGTATGCTGCTTAGTTTGCAGTGTTATTTCTGAAAGAATGATTTAGAAGAGGCCGTTATCCCATTCAAGTAACTTGCCTGGTCTCTCATCCCACATCAGTGTCTGAGATGACTCTATTCATAGTCTGAAAGATGCTGGATGGCCTTAGTTTGCTTTTTTATATATTTCCTACTACAGTAAAAAGTTGCACACTTTCCCTCCCAAATAAATTGTATTCTGTGTCATAATTTTTGCTTTGTGACATGATTTGAATTTTTCAAAGCTGCTTCAAAGATAGCAGTGCCATTATTAAAAGTTAATCTCTGTCAGAGTTTTTGATCTATAGTGCAAGTCTGGGATTTCTTTGAAGCTCTCTGTGGCATTAAACTGTGTATAACCTAATTCTGTCTAACCTGGAGAAACACAGTCATGAAGTACATGAGAGAAGGGAAAGAAGGGCTGTTTGTGCTTTAGTATCTGTGCCTTTCAGCTTAGATGCGTTCTTTTTAGTTAGTTTATAGTGAGCTGTGGTGGAATATTTTATAGTCTATTAAGATCTTTCTGGAAATTAGACATACAAAATGAACAAAAAAAAGCAAGATGTATTTACCCTGGCAAAACAGCACAAAGGTTCCTTCTGTCAGTTTGTGATGCAGTAACCTGCTTTTTATTGGGTGTTTTAAATAGTTTCATCAGTACAATTCCCTCTCATAAATTGTTGTTTTCACAGCGTGAATTTAGAGTCTTAACTTTAATGCAACATATGGAAATCACACTACATCATTAAACATAATTCCATATTATGTTGGATTTACAGGCACATTCTGGGATTGTTAATAAGATTTCCAGAGATTTCAGTGAAGTTCTTTGAAGTGAATTTCGCCTAGCTACTCTCCAGAAACACAGTTTTGATGGACAAAGAAGTGTGAAGTTGATTGTTGAAGCCTTGTGCAATGTGAATCCCAGAAGCACCTAAACCTTCTTTGGCAATGCATTCAAAATAATTCTGGGCTAAAATTTACTGAATGCTTTGTCTTCACCTCAGGAGATGTGATTTACTTAGCAGTGGAGTATTCAGGGGTCTGTGTCATTTCAAAACCATCTTGCTGTTTGATATAAATTAAGTGCAGGGGGTCAGCCAGTATAATACCAGTCATGTTGTTACTGAGCTCATATTTGTTAATGCATTTCTCTCTCATAGCTTCATTCTCATAGCTGATTGAGAGGACTCTTTGACTATGTGACCAGGCTTGCCTTTTAGCTGACGTTAACATTTTTTTAAAAATTGTATTTTTTAATATCGAACATTGTTTTGTATTAAAATTGTAGCCTCGTTGATTGAGATTTACCATGTGTTGCAGTCCATTGAAAATAATGAATTTAATTCATGGAATTTCTAGTTGGAGTCAATGAGTACTTTTTTTCCTAAGTTAAAAATTCCAATACAATAGCAGTCTTTTCCAACAAAGTAACATCAAAGAATATTTAAAGGAATTATTTTGAAATTATGCTGTCATATTTGGATGGCCTGAACATTTTATTTTGAAAAGGTGTCCCTTTATGGCTTCTACTTTAAAAGGACTTTTATTTTTTAACTGTAAAAGTCCAAAAAATATTAAGCACTAACATATTAACTTAATGCAAATCTGCATTTTTCTGCCATTTATTTACTGTTCCTCTTGTGTCACACTGGACTAAGGGTCTTTATTTATAGGATTTATGGTGCTGCAAAGATACATCATCCATTAGTGTCCTTGTCACAAGTATTTTCTTTGCCTTTGAATTCCTTCTAAGAACAACTGTAGCGGAGAAGATAAAAGCACAGTTAGGGTATATACAGTAGGTGTCTTAATTTCTAACTGATTTATGAAGCATCTCTTCATATGTTATAACATCATCTAATTAATATTTGAAAAATACTATGAAATGTAATTAAATGTCTAATTACATAGTGAATTTGAAAATGCTCAGTTTCAAAATTAGGGTGAGTTCTTTATATGTCAAGCTCAAGCCTAATGAGACGCTGACAGTTATTTTATTGTAGTCTGCCATTAGCTGTACCAATGTAAAATCCAGGTTAATCCCTAGCCCATTCTTCCACACACAAAAATAACAAACAATTGTTACGACACAGTAGGTTTTAAATAATTGGAGTTACAGTATGTAACTAAACATTTCTCTGAAAATGTACCAATCCTCCATAATTTCAGGATATTTCAAACTTTAACAAATAATGCAGATTTTTAACCTTCAGTATGCTGCACAGTATGTGACCTGAGAGTCCCAACCTGGCTTTGTGGATGAGGTAGTTGGGACCCATCTATAAAATGAAAAAAAGATTTGCTACAGTCATTTGTGGTGAAGTTGGTGGAGGGGACTTTGAGTAATAATTGCTGGGTAGAAAATTATGATGTTACATATTTATACATTAAGAGTGCAGGTAGAGGGAGATAAGTCTTTCCTTGTACATTTTATGTACTCAATTTATAGAAATATGGATTTATGGCATCTTTGGTAATCTGATGCCTTATGCCTTATCATGTTTAATAGTTTAATTTGTAGTCAGTTTAAATGTTTAACAATGTTTTTAAAACCCCAGTTGGAGAGTGTGTCAGCACTTTCTTGTTAGATGATAGATTCTAGTTCTGTATCTGTTTGATACATGAAATCAAAGTTACATTTAATGTCTTCTTTAGAAAAATGGACATGCGATCTGATTTGGAATCAACAGTTGGTATCTGATTGCTAAAACAATCAAAAACCCTCCACAGCTTGTGACCTTGATGCATCTGTCCCATTCATATTCCCAACAAATACA